TGTCGGATGCTATCCTCGTGGTTCAAGCCACCCGCCGAGTCCCTTTAGCCCTGAAGGAACAACTTCGCAGCGAACTGAAGCGAGTGGAGCAAGCTGGCAATGTGACTAAAGTGAACGAGCCAACTAAATGAGTAAGCCAATTGGTAAGTATCAAAAAAAGGAGGAAGTCAAGGGTCTGCATGGATCTCAGGCCAATAAACGCTAATATAAAACGGCAGCATATTGAGATACCAAGGCGGGAGGATGTCGAGGCAGAACTAGCTAAAGCAAAGGTGTTAAGTCGAATTGACGCGAAAGCTGGTTTTCATCAAGTGCCTCTTGACGAAAAGCATCACTCTTTTTGGGAGGTATATATAGGTTCTTGCGGATGCCTTTTGAAATCACAGCAGCATCACAAGTATTTCACGACTCTATACGAAATAATTCACCCTTTGCGGGGGGCGCATGTGTATGTTGATGACTGGTTGTTTGGGAAACCTCGCAAGAACAACACCACCAGCGCTTGAGACCAGTCCTCGACGCTGTCTTGGTAGGCAAAAGATGCTCTGCCTACCGCGGTTTTGGCTGGGTTTTCAATGGTGCATGTGGTGTTCTCAGTCAAGCAACGACCAAAAAAAACGGTATGCCAACGAACTGCGTTGTGGTTGGATGTGAGTCCCGTCTCACAACTTAGTCTTGTTTGTTGGTGCACATCGCAGCCCTCGGCACTTATGGCGGAAGTTACGTGCGGACGTCGCTATAATTTTGCCCATATTGTCGACACCGGCCTAACTGTGTTTCAAAACATGGGATGGGTCTATAAAACCTAACCATCGGCTGATAGAGTGTATGAAACAAACACCCATGCCGACAGATAAACAGGGAGTGCAGCGTCTTTTAGATGTAGCCAATTAATTTTTTAGGTACCTACCATCTTTGTCGCAGAGAACGGTTTCTGTGCACAGCCTAATCAATCATCATTCAGCATTTGCATTGACTCAAATCCCACAAATGAATCGCAGAGTATCTGCGACTGTTCCAGTAAGCAGCCATTGCTGGGAACCTTTGACCCTCAGAAGGAAACGACAGTGACGTCAGACGCGTTATGAGTGGTCTGAAATCGGCACTTCTGCAGTATCACGGAAGTGAATGGTGTCCTGTGGCGTACGCATCAAGGGCGCTGACTGACGCAGAACAGCGCTATTCGCAGATTGAAAAGGAGACATAAGCAGTGATGCTTGAATGCCAAAAGTTTCGTTATTTTATATATGGTCAACAGAAAATATTGGAAACTGATCATTGGCCGTTTATAGTTATAGTGAAAAAAACAATAGCTGATATGCCACCTCGATTACAAAGGTTTCTTTGCGCATCTGCTGAAGAACGATTATGTTCTTCGCTACGTCCTAGGGAAAGTTTCAGTTTCAGGAAAGAACTTTTCTCGGCGTACATGTTATCGTGAGCCACAGCCGTGAAGCCGGACGAGGACGATGTGGACGCTGACGTGAAAATACATGTTATGAGTACGGTTGCTGCTCTTGTTAGCAATGTTACCCTGAAATGGCTACAAGAGGAAACTGAAAAGGATCCATATTTACGCTCAGTAATACAGACCGTTCACGCTGGCGAAATTGTTGAAGGAGGGCCGAAGCCTTTCAGGGGTGAACTATCAGTCGTGAAAGGTATCTTACTGAAAGGTACCAAAGTTATAGTGTCTATATCCTTGAGGAGCTAGATAATGGAGCGAGTCCACGAAGGAAACATGGGCCTCAATAAGTGAAAGGCAAGGGCAAGAAGATTCATTTTTTGCCGTAGGTTAATGCAGAGATCACAGCCATGATCCTTAGGTGAGCTGTTTGCAAGTGCGCCCTCGCGCTTTTCGTCTTGCTGCAAAGTGCACGGGGCTGCCTGCTTTGTTCGGCTCCGGCAGCCCGCATTGAAGGGAGGCCCGGCGATCTTACCAGTATCTACGTATTTTCTAGTAAAAAAACACAACACCTAATACTTACGTATTGATGTTGCGCCTCATGTATGCGTAATATTTCTTTTTTATTGACAGTGTTCACAAGCATGAACGCAGCCACCAGTTCAGGATGACTGGGCGTTCAGTAAGGGCTTATACTTTTGCTGGATGGCTGAATCATGTGACAGACTCACACTTCAAGACATTAATTGCTTTGAAAGCACACCTTTTATTAAGTAAGCTTCAATTGAATTCTGATCCGCTGAAGTTATACTCACCCGGGTGCTCACTCTTAGACGAGTACTTATCAAAATTAAAACTAGCGAGGCCCCCTCGAATTCTTATATACTCAGCGTTTATATAATCCTACGCAGTTGAGCTCCCGTTCACTGAATCACACAGATATCGTATGACATAGGGCTTACTAAAGCGTGTACTCAAAGGTCGGTCTGAGTTCGAGTGAGACAGAGTCAGTCTACCGAAAAGCAAGTTTGCCGAATGATCGTCATTGCCACTACCAGCTTAAATCAATTCAGCAGCCTACTCTGGTAAAAACACGAATGCTGATTGGGTGAGAAATTCTGCTAATCGGTTGAGAGATTTTTCGCCATGCGAAAGTAACTGCCACATGTTCTCGTGGTCTTTTATGGTCGTGTAATTATTCTTGAAGTTACGCTGGAGCCTTATTGGCGGAAAAAGTTAGCTATGCAAGTGGGTTTCTGTGTGTTAAAATTCTTGCTGAACGTAGTGTACGGAGCAAAATTGATGTAATATATATATATATATATATATATATATATATATATATATATATATATATATATATATATATATATATATATATATATGTAATATATATCAATATATGTTTTTCCCATATATATACGTATATATATATATATATATATATATATATATATATATATATATATATATATATATATATATATGGGAAAAAACTCTATACTTAAGGAATCGTTTTTCCGTGTTTTGACACAATATAATGAAATATAATAGAAAATTACACCAAAAAATATAGGGGACGTTGTTAGACCGAATGGTAAGGTAAATATGAAGAAAGACATGTAGGTGAAAAGATGACTTGCCGTTGGCAGGAACCAAACCTGCGACCTTTGAATAACGCGCTCAATGCTCTACCCCTGAGCTACCACGGCGTCTATCCCCCCAGCCATTTTATTGGTTATATATGTGGATTTAGTCGTGGGAGTGTCAGTCAGCGCCATCTGTAGCCATGGTGGCGAGTGTGGCGCACTTTTCATGAGTCTGTGTAGCGTCACGTAGCGCGTCAACTTATTACGAGCTGGAAGCTCACGAATAGTCCCTCGTATACAACCTAAGGCACCAAGTCTGCCAGTATGAGACCCTCGTTAATGAATAAGGGAAAGAAGTGTATACTCAAGGGCTCTTTTTTCCGTGGTTTAACAAAGTAATAATGAAATCTAACAAACAATAATGCCAAGGAAAGTATACAGACAATAATGCCAAGGGAAGTATAGGGGAGGATGTTACACCAAATGGTATAGTAAATGTGAAGAAAGAAAAGTGGGTGAAAATGTGACTTGCCGTGTCAGGAACCGATTCGGTTTTTGCCCAAGGCAAGTCATCTTTTCGTGCTTTCTTGGCAGGGCAGCTACGATGGTGGTGGCTTTACAATAAACACGTTTTGCTATCGGCCACAAAAACGATAACCACTCTGACTTCTTATCGCTGTTATGAGCCGGTGTGAGGGAAGCGTGGCATTCGTACGCGGAACGTTAGGGAGCACTAGAATCATCATGCGAACGTAGGCTTGAGCGGGTTTGTCACATTATATTTTTTTATTTCGCAGGCATTTGAAATTAGCAGAAAAACACTAATACTTAACAGATATAAAGTTCAAAACTATCTATTTGGACGTTTTGCAAATCGGTGTACAACTTATTCCTTTAAATTTTTTAATCATCTTCGTTCCTTCAAAAGTTAGTTAATTAAGGTAATCTAATTGAACAATATTTGAGACACAAAAAATAGGCTGACTAACTACAGGCATTGGTGAGCAACATGCATTTGGTCGCGTCATAATTACGTGTTACGGCATATTTTTAAACTCTGGCTAATGTTACGTGGTACACTCTGTATACGTGTTATGGCATTTCTAGAACCACTTGTAAACTCTCTTTCATCTACAATACAAGTACTCGCTTGCGAGGTACCCACTACGCCATTATCTATGATTATGCGGACAAACGGTGTACCTGCTGCACATTTTAAAAGCCATTATGTGCACCTAGTTGATGCAGCAGCTGATGATGATGAAGTATTACACCAGCACCCTTCCTACTAAGTTGGCATAATTCAACGATGAACTCGTTGCGCTATTCATATTGTGTGACACCTGGCTGCTATTTTGCTCTTCCACCACGCTATATCAAATGTGTTCGCGTGATTCCTTTTTTTTACGTAACCCCTGTGTAGAGTTTATTTGAAAGGAAGTTTTGAGCGCAGTCATGGTTCACTGGTAGAAAACTGGCCAGCCGTGGAGAGCTCCCAGGTTCTAATCCTGAATATTTATCCTATTTTGTTTTTGTTTTGTTTTTTTCCTAAAATTTTGTGCGAGGCCGGTTACGGACACCAGTGGCGGCGTCTGTGGCGGCGGCGGACAACTATTGTGCTGAAAACGGCCCTGTGAGGCATAACAGGTTTCGCTGTAAAATACGATCAATAAATACGCAATTCAAATTTATCAGGGTAGACGTACATTTGAGAGTGAAGTGTAAATATGAAACCAATGCCTGAGCACTAGATCACCTCTTTTAGGCTAAGTTTTTTATTGTGTGTGCATATTCAAGCCATGCTCAATAAAAAGTTCAGTGGCGTTTTCGAAGGAATGAAAAGCACTATTTAAAGACAATGTAGTTCAAATAAAAACAACACCAGCAGATATTTCCACCGAAGAGATCAACCTAGATTTTATTTTGCGACTAGCCATGTCATGTTCGAAATGAGGGTGACATTTGAAAAAAAGGTAGAAAGTGCAATACGTTAACATGAGCGATTTGTGCCGCAAGGCTCTGACGCATACGACGTTCAGGTAAACGGAGAGCTCATGCCGCATCTAACGACGACGGCGAATGTATCCCTTCTTGACACCTACTGGTCCATAGCCATAGGTTAGCCCAGCGCCGAGGCCTCCAGCTCCGGTTCCAAGTCCGAGACCATCAAGACCGGCAAGTCCTCCTCCGAGACCGTATCCGAGGCCACCTCCTAGACCTGCCAGACCAAGCCCATTGGTCAGACCCAGGCCTCCAAGACCCCCGGCACCTAGACCGCCCAAAGCAGCAGCTGCCCCGACACCCCCTGCGGTGTATGTAACCACGGGTCTGATAGTGTGTGAGACTGAAGCCACCGGTTGCCTAACGTAGTTGACCACCGGCTTGGTCACATAGCCAACGCGCACCACAGGCTGCTTCACGTACGACACAGTTGCCACGGGCTTAGCGACAGCGACAGGTGCTGCTACTGGGGCTGCCAAAGCGACTGGTGCAGCCACCACGGGCCCAGCTTCGACAGCGAGTCCTGGACCAAAGCCGCCAAGGCCAACACCTCCTAGTCCAAGACCTCCTAATCCCGCACCTCCGAGTCCCGCACCTCTGAGTCCCGCACCTCCGAGTCCCGCACCTCCGAGTCCAGCACCTCCCAGTCCAAGACCTCCGAGTCCAACGCCTCCTAGTCCGAGCCCTCCGAGACCTAGTGCACCTAGGCCTGGACCGGCACCACCGAGACCAGCGGCCCCAAGTCCGGGACCGTATCCGACGCCACCCACGTCACCAGAATAGGCGCACGCCACAAGGGCTGAGAGAAGTGCGAGCTGCGAAAATCAAAGAACAATGAACGCCCTTCTGATTATTGAAAAGTTTTAATGACATTCGAACGAATAACAATGAAGGGTACTAGCCTTCAATTTAGAACATTTCTATGGCTCACCGATCAGCATGCTCCGGTTATTGCTTGTGTTGTTAGATATGTACAAAAAGAATGTTAGCGCCTGCTAATATTTTCTCGCAGCGTGCTTAGCTAGTCTCTGAAAGTAAAGTACAAATAAAAAATCATACCTTACAGTACAGGTGCGCTTGAACTATTAAGTAGTGTAAGTTAATCGACCAGAAATAGATGCTGCGCCGCAGCTAGCAAAAATGAAGGAAGATGTCTCTATAGTACATAAATGCACCCGTAGTAGCGCTAAAAAGTGTTATCTAGAATTCATTTACTCGGGAATGATGCCACTGTAACGTTCTTCACCAATGGAAGGATGTTTCTTAACCTGGTGTCAGGTAAGGGCGTCAATTATCACAGGAAGCGGCATTGATAAAAGTACGATAAGGCTATACTGTTCTTTATTAGTTAGCTAATGATTTGTCGATGCTTCCGCATTGATGTTCAATGTCAGTGCGAAAACACCCAACCCGCACTCACGATTCCCGCAACGCCAAATTACTAATCCAAGGTCATGTTTAACTTTCTTCCAGAATATCGAACCGTTAACACAACGTCTTTACTTACGTGTGTGTACATGGCTGCTGCCCTGGTCAGTTCTCCGCAGGTCTTAAGAGAATGGTGTTCTCGCCATCGACCTGTGCGCATCTTTTATACGGGCGTGCACAGTACGTCACCAGACAGTTGAGGCTTCCCATTCGGTGCCGGGGTAGAACGACTAAGCGAGGAGAAAAAGCGCTGCGTCGAAAGCGGTCCACGCACTGTGTGGAGCCAGCAGATTGTACTTTAAAGTTCGGCACGTACGAGGCACGTACGAGGCCTCACCAACGAGTATAGGAGCACGCAAGCGAGTCACTTCTATATCCGTTCTCATCTGGCGACAGCTACGCTCTTTTTTTTTTTACTTCCGCGACCACGATACGGCCCAAGTTCTCCCAGACGCTGGTCGTTTCCGCGCTTCCGCCGCATATTCCTCCGATACTCACCTGTGTGTCCAATGATTCTAGTCCTTCTCAGGTATGCAGCGGGCGTTTCCTCGGTGAGTGTTTCCTGCTGCGTAGAGCTCTTCGGAGCGATATAGGTGTACCGTTAGCATTGAATTACTAAACGTCCGTAATGAACGTTCTCTCAACTGCGTCGTGAATTTCGGGTTCCTCTCTAGAAACGGGAAAACGTGACGATGGCCTCCTTCATCCTGCAAGAAGCCCTTCGCGACTTGAGCGGAAGTGTCAGAAAGGCAATTTAGGAACAACTACATGCAAGTGACTACAGGCACAACTCAGCGAATGAAACCCTGCGAATCTAAACAGGGCGCGAAACTGATGCACTCACTGGTGGTGGACGCTCGCACACGAACCAAGGTCGTTTGACCATGTACGAACACTACGATGTGCAAATGCATCTGATAAGGCATTGCATCTGGATTCGGTAAGTAAAACATCACAGATAAATGTGAAGAAGAACAACATGCGTCCATTGGCGACATAGCAGCATGCTGACGACGAGCCTGTTTTCAGAGCGCGATGAATGGCACCTCAGTAAAGGTCAAAGCTTCTCCTCCACCATCGTTTAAGCTTATCTGGTGCCATCGCAGTCTTTTGATGCGTGTATGTGCCACTGTATGTACCCACACACACACACGCACGTGCACACACGATAGTATATATATATATATATATATATATATATATATATATATACCGAAACTGTCAAAATATACTATTTGCAACGCTACGGCCACTTTCGCCACCAAAGCCTGCACACACACACACACACACACACACATATATATATATATATATATATATATATATATATATATATATATATATATATATATATATATATATATATATATATATATATATATATATATATATATATATATATATATATATATACGTAGTATATGAAGAGTCTGGCTTTGGCTGTCGTAGAAATAGAAAAAAGTAAATATACGATTCAAAAAACTGTTTATTTGTGACGTTTTGATCGGAGACCAATCTTCATCAGAATAAAAATTTACTAAGCCCCTATGCGCTTTTATGTCATCACCGAGCCGAGAGAGAGAAAAAACAATGTAGGGTCCACACAGATAATAGGTCACACAACCACGTGTGCGTGTGCGTACTTCCACATACCTGATCACGTGTATTTCGTGCAAAGAAAAAGGTAGACACACAAACGTGTTGTCAAATAACCCATGCATGTGCATAGACATCTAGATAATTTTTTGAGAAATATGGGTAAAAGTCAGTAAAAAAGAGAGCAGAGCAAAATTACCAAGTGGACCACTAAGTACGTCCCTGTGGCGCCCCCTGCATATACTCAGGTGTAAAAACCGAACATGTTTCCGAGAAGACAACTGAACTATCAACAAATATGTATGAGATATACATCTAGAGTCCAGGTCGATACATTAAGCACATCCCAGTGGTACAATGTCAAGTTTCACTTCTCAGGCTCACCCCTCATCATCTGCCCCCGGTAGCTTGATCGAAACACCAAAGTACATTCCTTGCGATCATTGTTGCGTCCCACTGATTCTACCAACCGCTTCCTTAGTTGCCTTGAAGCCTGTGGAGGAGGTTTGTGTCCGAACGAGGTGGTAAATGCTTAAAAAAAACACTGCTCATGCGTGTCAATTCTCAGCGCAAGAAGGAAAAACGTGAAATATAGCCACAGGCCAAGCAGCTACGATATCCGGTCTGTGGTTCAAGAATGTTTGAAAAACAATAGAGTATAGGTTTTTTTTAATTTTTTGCTGAGGGGGGGGGAGGGGTCGCATAAGTCATTCACTCGGTTGTCTGAAGAGTAATTGCATTAGGGGGGCAGGGGTAATTGAGGATTTTTCGACAGTTGCCCACCTTTCTTAAAATGCGCGTGCATATGTTGTAGGCCTGGACACGTGCTCAGGCTAATACCTGAAAAAAAAAATAAAAAGAAGTTTGGCTAGAGCCATTATAACCTTGAATCTTGAATCTGCAGAGCGCGAATTGATGACAGTATGCCTGGAGCGATATTTAGACCAGCTTTTATTCTAATAAATTTATAAATAACATACGAGTCGCACTGTTCACGTTCACTTGTACTGGAGAAATCGCTTTGTAAGAGTGTAACCTTAATTGAATCAAATTGGTGGTTTTCGGAGTTACAATGCCGAGACAGAGGCAGATCCGGAAGCGGATGGACTTGTGAATGGTGTTTATTGAAGTGAGTGCTCAAGGCCCGGTAAGTATGTCTTATGTATTGAATACTGCATATTCCACACTCGAGGAGGTATATTACATTAGAGCTGTCACAGTTTAAGCGTGAGTAAATGGAGTATTTGAAATTGGAATGTGTGCTTTCAGCAACGTTGGTTGCCTGTATGTGCTTGGACACATTGCAACAGGCTTTGCCGCATGGCTGACATACAGTTATGAATGTCTTATCAGTTTTGAACGCACAAAATAATTTTTAATGTTTTCCAGGCGTCAATACACCACTCGTGGAGGGGGAAGAGAAAATTTTAATAGCCGTTCACTCTGTTGAAGCATATTAGTGTCTCTTTGGGATTTTGTTTATGTTAGGGAGGTGGCTACCAAATGTTAAAACAGAGTTTTTCCGTGCCTCTTGTTTTCATTCTTTCTGCTAGTAAAGTAGGTGCTGACGATCTAGGTTTGCCGTTTTATGTATGGTGTCGTTCTCTTTAGAGGAAGAATACTGTGGCTTTGCAGGTACATTGTGCAAGTTCTCTGCGTTGGCCTCATAGTCTTCGGGACGAGAGCAAATTATTTCGAATCGATGGGCCTGGGAGTACGGGATGGACGTCTTGCAGTGACGAGGGTGACAGCTATCAAAATCAGGGTATTGCTGCCTGTCTGTAGACTTTTTGTAAACGTTAACAGTTAATAACCCGTATTTTAATATTACGCGGACGTCTAAAAATTTATTTTAGTGGTTGAGTTTGCATGAGTGAATGTTATATCTGGATGACCATCGTTGAAAGATTCTATAAAATAATTGGACTTTCCTGTGTATCCGTCCAAATAACGAAATATAATCGAGTAAGCGTCTGTAGAGAAATGGCTCAATTTTTGGGTTGATGAAAACTTAGTTTCAAAGTCATTCATCAAGATGTTTGCGTAGTTAGGTGCCATACGCGAACTTGTTCAGTTGAAGTACCAACTTAGCAAGGATATCAATGATTAATGAGTTGGGTTTGGTGAGTCATCACATTTAGGTTAAGTATAGGACTTTACTAATGCTATTTTGCCGATCATATATATATATATATATATATATATATATATATATATATATATATATATATATATATATATATATATATATATATATACGGTGTTGACGGCATAGTTGTTGAATTTATATTTGTAAACGTTCGCTCAAGAAGTGGTGCAAGGAAAGAGCTCAATTATAATAGCATGGCAATGGCCACTGCATGGATGTATGAATGAATGAAAACTATATTGGGGTCCTGAAGGACTTCACCCCTGTTTTATAGGGGGGGGAAGCAAGATGTGGGGTAAGTGCTTGCGTAGCTGCAAGAAAAACTGCAAACAACAGCAGCACCAAAAATATTATGCATGCATTAACAGGAAGCAGGGGGGGGGGGGCGAGAACAAGGACAGTGCTTCCATAGTGGCGACAAAGACGACAAATAACCACAGCAGGAGACAAATAACAACAGACATAGCCACGGGCATTCGAGAAAGAAGACTCGACAGTGTACGTACGTACATTTATGCCAGGGAGCGTTCGTTTTGAAACGGCCGGACGTGTGTCCGGGTGCTGCCTTGCGTGGATTTTGGTGATAAATAAAAGATTGGGGCGACTTTTTGTCTTTATATTCTATAACTGCTAGGTTAATAGCTGAAATAAAATAAGACAACTTTATGGCCGAATATGCTAGCTGATCAGTCATAATGCTTTAAAAGCCTAGTCTATCAGGCGTCAGGCAAAATAACACCTCTTATCGTAAGAAACACATGTTTCTTACATCGACTGCATATTACATCTTACAATCTTACATCGGCTGCATCTAGACGGCAGGCATACAAATAAGACAGGCTGAAATTATAGTTTCACATGGCCTTGCACTGAGTAGTAAGCGATAAAACAGCTTTTGTTGCATTTCGGTACACTAGCATGCACGTCTTAAAAATAATAAGCGCGAAACCAACGTAAGTGAACAATATGCATTCTTTTTTCCGTGTTCTCATGAACAAACTAAACGATAAAATAAAATATTTAGAACTGTAATGATGCTGGCTACTTTTTTTTTGCATAACAGTAACACTTTAAATATTACTGTAGGGAGAATATTCAAAGAAAAATATAACTGAGAAATGGTGTTAGCGTAAAAAAAAACCAATGAAACACACATACGTCTAAATTATTTGTACCTAAATGGAGTTTCTAGGTGTCTCACAATTTTATAACTAAAGATATGTCAAAGTTCCTGCGTGCGTAGTCTCAAGATATATAGTTTATAGTTTGGGAAGCTGAGCCATAAAGTTGCTTGGACGTGGATTCAAATGTAAACACACAGCGCCAGAAGGCTAGGCATTCCTTCGAATCAATTCAGTCTCCATGACCCCATTCGAATTCCAATTAGCGCTGACGTTGAAGCTAAGTCAGCATGC